GGGGGCGGGGGGACCGAGGTCGATGCTGCTGGAGGAAACCTTCGTCGTCGGCGGGTCTTCGGGTCTCCGGGCGTCGCGCACATGGACCAGGCAGCACGTTGGCTGACCTTTTCTGGTTTGTACTTGACCATCAAGAATGTAAATAGCCATCTACTCCAAGTGTATATAGCTCAGTGTAGGAACAGTAGGTTACCATATTCTTAGGTTTTTTCGGTTAAGTCACGTAAGTAAAACATCAAAAAAAAATCACGACGTTTCGGAGGCAACACAAGTCTCCGTCATCAGGTGGGACCGTCACAGCCGAATTAGCTGCATCAAGTGTAGGTTACCACCTTATTTTGTTATTCTGTTATGGGTTATGTGACGCTAGTTCATAAACCGTGTTGCCTCCAAGTTCTAGTGTGCGCCTCATTGGACCCACTACACATGTGTAAAGACTGTGTCAGTAAGTCTCGAGGTGAAAACAAGGTGTCAGCGAGGCTGGATGCAAAGAGATGCCAGAAAGTCTGGAGGGTCTTGGTTGGGAAATTCCCCATAGTGTCCAAAAGAGACAGCTGGGGAAATTCCCCCGGAGAATCCACGAGGATATAAGCAGGGCACGAAGGGATGTTCGGGGTCTGTGGAGAGGGACTTGGGCCATCGTCGCTGTCTTCACGTCAAAGCTGTCTTCACGTTATGGGAACCTCATTTGCCAGTAAAAATATGATAATTGCTTTTTGACCCTTCTATCTGGCAACAAAACTGACACCTTTTTGTCATGTTTGCATAGACCGCAATACCTGCAGTCATAATACAATAAAATAACATAACTCTGATAATGTGCACTGTCCTTGAAGTTAACCCATGTGAGACTAGGCTCTAAGGAAAGCTGTCTCGGGTGTGGACCAATCAACTTCAGGACAGTGCACATTATCAGAGTTATGTTCTTTTGTTTGTATTATGACTGCAGGTATTGCGGTCTATGCAAACATGACTCCTTGTAAAAAGGTGTCAGTTTTGTTGCCAGATAGAAGGGTAAAAAACCAATGATCATGTCTTCACGTTGTCGCTGTCTTCACGTCATCACTGTCTTCAAGTCATCGCGGTCTGCTCGGTCATACGATCTCCACGTCGGCATTATCTCATGACGATGGGGTCCTAAGCTACGTTACGTGAAATAAAAGAAACCTCTAATGTGGGGTCCGAAGTCATTACACATGTACGAAAAACCAAGAGCAAACTGCACTTTTGTGAGCTGTGTTCAGGACTTCGCCATGGTATGCGTCATCAGTGTCAAGCATGAAATCAGCTGTTATGTCATTATTTACGACTGGCCTAGGTGCTGTAACTGCATTCAAAACCTTTGTATGCCTTTTCTTACGCTTCACCCTTGGGTAGAAACTTTCCGATTTTCCTTCTGCTCCATTTAGCCATTGAACGTTTGGAGATTTCCCCCATGTCTTAACGGAAATTCTCCCATTTTTGTGGCAGGTATTAGTTAAATGTAGCTTTAGCGATTGCATAACTAAAGAGCAGAGAAAGAATTACGACAGTTTACTTAAATGTGTGCATATTCGCGTGCAATACTTGCGTATGTGTGAAATTAAGTGCAATTCTTTACATTTAAAGTTACATTTTTGTTATTCTAACTGTATTGCAAAAGTTAGTGTATGTGTGCACGCATTGATTCAAGCATGTTGCATGACAAAAATGGTGAAACGAGCTTCTATAGTGTCACGGGATCTATGAACACTCCCTCTATACAGATCTAAACTCCATCTAGATAGCAGCCACCTCTTGTCAGATGTGTGATCAGGGCTGATTCAGCCAGGTTGGGGTAATTGAAGCCCAGAGGGGAAACTGGTGATCCACCCCTAACAATGAGGCCGATGAGCCAATGGGAATGCAGCAGGGGGTAGCTGGCCCGCCTGTACACCAAACCCCTTCTCGCAGGTTTAGCTGCCGTGGTTTTGTGGTTCCACTTAAGATTCATTTAAGCGCGATTTGCGTCTCACGGATCAACCTATCGCGGGTCAGCTGCGTGAAGCGGTCACTCCGCAAAGAAAGCCGTTCACGCACGCGGCATCGTTGTGCCGAAGGATACGGATGCCATCTTCTCCCTCACGATACCCCAGTCTGCACTTTCCGGCATCTCGCAAAAGGTTGTATCTCGTGATTGTTTTGTAGGGCTATTATTTTACGATTTCCAGTGCCCTCACCGGTTTAAAATTACAGCACCTAAGAAAAAAGCAAGTAATAATGAGCCTCTTTATGAAAGGGAATGAAAAGTTACGTGTCTCGTTGATACAACTAATGTAGTAGATAGCTTAGCGAAAGGTGAAATTGCTGCTTCTGTCGGTTGTCGCTACGGTATCAATGAGCCAAACGTGAGATAAATTTAAAAAAAGGAGACGAAAAAAGATCAGGCCGAGTGTTTCTGCTCATGCTCCTGGAAGTGCCACAGTGTCTTGTGTAACTTGTGATCGTACCATTGAAGAGATTGAGATTAAAGACCAATCGCAAAGTGGCACTCAGTGGGACCGGTTATTTGTGAAAAATCACTGCAGATTTACGAACATTTATCCAGGTCTGAAGGCTTACCCGCTAGATACTTCTCTGCAAGCAATGGATGTTTTTTTATGAATGTTAAAAAGACCGGCTCTGGTTTGACAGCAGAGGTCTCACTCCGAATTACTCGAGCAGCATTATCTCTTCATCCCCTGTGTAACGCTGTGTGTAGCTACCTGGTCAGTCGCTCCACACGAAGCTTTGGGTCTTCTCGGTCAGTTATGCCCTCCCTTCTCTATGCTTGCGGAACATCGACCCCCCCCCCCTAATGGCACATCTGTGCCGGTTGAAAACGTGCAGGCTGGCTTACCTAGATCAATCCTGGGTTTAACCAGGATGGTTTGTGAGCTTACAAATCCTTGAAAGATCTGGACACATTCCCATCAGTGAGCTCCTCTAGCAGGCAAGGATGCATTGGCTTGGTTATGGAGCCCGCATGCCTAGCCACCACATGCCTAGCAACAGTATGCCCAAACAGCTTTTTTTGGCTGGATAGAGGGGGGCTAAACGGGTGCGACCCGGGCTGGAAAAGAGATGGACTGATGCGGTACAGGAGGATGTGGAGCTGAGTGGACTTGCCGAAGATTGGTACCAGCAGTGTCAAGATTGGCCTCTATGGAGGAGGCTCGGGAAGGACCCTACTGGGGAGTTGGAGGCAGCCACCCTCCAAAAACAACAGAGGGGAGAGATGCAATGCTCACAACAACGAGCGGAGCACTGGGCAGGTAAAGTGCAGCAAGTTGGCACATTAGGTGCATCTGCCGGTCATCTCAGTCAACCCATGGCATCTGGTGCTGTCCTGTGACCTGTCAGTGAATCTTCAACACTTCACCTGGCCTCAGAGTGCACTTGGCTTGACACAAGCACCGTGGTGACATCACCACCACTTCGTGGCGACATCACCACCACTTCGTGGCGAATGGTGGCTCTTGTCTCTGGACTTAGTTAAAGCAGGATTTGTGTTATGGGTTGTGTCGGTGCACTGCCATTCTGGTTCGTGGTGATTCCTCGGTTTGAGCTCTGTATGAAACTGGACTCCAGCCCTCTTAGCGCGACACAAAACCCCGCACCGTGTCTCTGACCATCACACTTCACCCATGGTACTTGTCTTGAATGCCTCGATTTAAATAATTGATACGTGATATGGCGGGAGAGGGTCTTTGGGGGACCCTACACAAGCCCCCAGGGTCTTGTGCCCGAGCCAGCTGTTTCATAGAGCACTGATCGAGCACCGATCGATCTATGGTTGAGCACCGACTGAGCTATGTTTCGAATACGTGTACCTATATGATTGAGCACGTTCGTAGAGCAGCTCATAATTTATCATTCATTGTCGCGGATTCATTCCGTCCTGTTACAGCTCACGTACACAACCATAAACACGTGCACTAGACACGATCAAGAACACTTTTTAGCTGACGATACTCCACTCATCAAATATACAGCGCCTAAATCACTGACGTTCTAAAAGCATGTATCTGCAAAATAAGTTTTAATAAACCAAAAGTGGTGCCCATGGGTTGCTATGTGAGTATGGCACCAATGGTTGTGGGTTTGAAAGGGCCACCACCAAATGAGTATGTCAGCACTGATAGAGATGTTCCGGTATACGCCAGTGTACTACGCAGGCACTTCTCACAACGATGCTTATTCCTGCACCACAATGTCTCCCGCAGACGGGAAGCACATGTGAGCACGAGCTCTCAGCGATGCTCCTACATCGATGTTTCCACCGCCGTTACGATAGAACTGCATGGCTGTACACGCGGTACACACTGCTGGTTGATCAATAGGGTGCCGCAGTGGCGAGTTGTTAACTCCCTCGCCTGGTATGCATGAGGTCGTGGGTTCGATCCCGACCCTGACGTCTGTATATTTTGAGTTTGTATGTTCTCCCTGTGGTCACGTGGATTTTACTCCGGGTCCTCCACATTTATAAATGTGTTTAAGAGTATTTGGCTGACAAATGTCCACGTGATAGGCCACTTCGTTGAGCTATCATTTGTCGGCAGGTTGCTTCTGAAAACGAGCTCTATAGTTCAGCGGGGACCTTACCTGGTCATATATATTTTCATTTAAAACGTTTACTTCATTTGTGACAGCAGCGTTCACGTGATTCACGAATGGAGCCATTCGGCTTGCCAGTGCCAAGTCACGTAGCAGCTGAAGAGAGGCATGTGTGCTCTGTGACCAATCTTTAGTACCGGTTAAGTCCAAAAAATGTAATTCTATTGGTTTAGGAACTTCCTCGTATGATTGGACGGACTGTGTAGGACTGGGAATGTGACCCGGTCAAGTTAGATTAGGATTGGGTCACATACTGATCAGCTGACTTGTGTCCAATCAGCTGATTAGTTAAGAAATAATTCCCTTCAATTTTTTATTGCAAAAAGTAAATGTGAAGTATATGGTTCTATATACTTTCAGTAAAAAATATATAAAGTACACTAAAATAGTGTGTGATAGAATGTTTTATCTCCACAACACAAATTAAACGCATGTATGATTCAACCGCTGTGTGTGGAATGATCACATCATATCAGACCTGAACTCTGAACCAACTACATTTCCGTAGTGTATGAAGCCTCCAAAACTGTCCTCTCTCCAGCATACTGTGCCTACAGTCTCAGGCGGCCACAAGGTGGTATTACAGCAAATAGGTTTCCAAGCTGCCGAGATGTTTCAGTTATCGCCTCGTATGCGTGTATCCGGCCTGGTGGCACAGCGGTAGAGCGGGCGGCTCCAAATCAGGTTGCAGAGTTCAAATCCTGGTTGGGGGGGGCGGTGGTGGTGGGGGGGGCTGACCATCATCCCTCTGGGGTCGATAAAATGAGCACCACTTTCATGAGTGTCAATAGTGGTCATCCTATGGATACTTTTTTCCCTACCCGCCATAGGAACGTGGCATTTCCACCAGTGGTTCTGGGCTATAAACAGGAAATTATCACCAATGCCTCTGCTCACTTGAGCAGATAATTAACAAACTATTTCATAACATTCTCTCCAGGAATTCCGGCTTTCCCTCTCATGCATTGTTGCGTAGCAGTGCTCAATGCCGTCGCAACTACACAGCGTCCAGAGGCACTTTTGTATGATGGCGGTTAAACTCTGTATGGCTGAGGGGCCTCCAGACACAATAATCAGTGCCAGCCTAGTAGACAGTTGGCACTCAGCTTCTGGTGAGAAGAGATGAAAATCGATCAGTTACCCTTTGCCAGGGGTCAATGCTCACAGCCCACATAAGTCGAGAAGACTTTGTGTAGTTACTCTATTACCCCACGAAGCACCCCTAGAACCCCGTTCGACTCAAAGCAATGGATTTGTGGAATGAATAGAGTCCATCGTCCCACGTCTAATAAATACAACCACGTACTTCACAACTCATCGCGCGTTCCGGGCAGTGGCAGAGAGGATCCTGTGATGACATCACCTCCCAGGGATTGAGCTTCAGGAATGTCACCGTCATTCTCACTGCCGCCGCTGCCACCCCCTTTGGCTGCGACACTGTCCTGGTCGGCTTCCTGCACCGCTTCGTCCTCAGCCGGGCTGCTCGTCCGAGCGGCCACCTCTGGCTCGTCCGCTTTCCGCCGATCGCTGACGCCACCGCCGCCGACTTCGCCCTCGTCGCGATCGCCGCGTCCGTGCCCCTTGCGGAGGTCGTCGGCGTCTCCGCGACCCCGCTCCGGACCGCTGCCGCCATTGGGAGCGGCGTCGCGGCTCTGAGGCCTCCCCCTGCCGCCGCCACCCCTCTCGGCGTCGCTCGGCCCCTCCGTCTTACGGGAGCCACCCCGCGCGCGACCCTGGGGCTGGGCGTCCGTTGTGGCATCGCCGCTCCAAATGGTGGAGGTCTCCGTGTCGCTGAAGTAGCCGGGCTCGCCCGAGTAGTGTGTAGGGTAGGCGAGCAGCGGCGATGCCGAGAACGTGCGCAGGTCTCGTGTGGAGAACTGCACATTGTACGCCTCCCTGCACGCGGAGGCACGGAGTGGACGCACGGAGTGGACGCACGTATGTGTACGCATGTACGCGTATACACAAGCTCAGCCCTGACCTAAGCACGATCTGCCCAAAAGTACGAATGAATGGGATGTGATCAAAGCGGATACTGTACGACATTGAGAAAATAAAGGGGGGGGGGGGGAAATCACTTCAGATTTATCTGCCACTCATAATGAGGCCCTTTGCAACTGTATTTGACGTAGATGTCCTTGTCCGTCTACATCCGAGTAAATGAGTCATTTATAGGTAAAATTATAATTTGGACCATGGCAGACTACTCTCTTCGAATAACCTCACGGGATATTTAAACGTTCGCCGTGAAGCAGAGGGACCGTCCTATTTTAAGGTCGATCCACCTGCAGTATTAATCGGGATGGGCCACTGGATCCAAACCGCGAACCTCTGCAACGAGTGGAGAATGCGGCACCGCTGGGCCACCGCGTCGCCACCCATGTGCGTCGGGCGGCGCTCGTCGAATCTGAAACGCGGCCGAGACGTGCGCGAGCGAGCGATGTATCCTATGCCCCCCTCAGCACTCCCCCACGTGACGGTGCCCGCGATGCGCGCCAACGGGTGTTCTCGTACACGGGGTGAGTGCCCGACATCAGTGGCAGGTACTCGTCCACAGGCATCATGCGGTCCAGCGGCCGCCCCTCAACGAGCTTCTTCGCCCCCGATCCGGAGAGTACGTAGGCCAGGCTCCAGTAGGAGTAGCCGGGACGCACCAGGCCCCGCACCGGCGTCTGCACCGGCGCGTTGCCCTCGGCATTCCGCATCGCTTTTCGAGCCAGGTAGCTGCGCACAGGGCGACAATGCGGGCGCGGTTTTGCATCGCATCACAAAAGGGCGCAGTGGTGCGTCCATGAGCATCGTACGGAGCGAGGAGAGGATGATGTCACGGGACGGGGGAGGATGGAGGAGCCGGTCGTCACCAGTGACGGCTTCGAATCGTCGTTGCTGTCGATCACGATGTCGCATTCGACCACGCTGCTGCGCGTCAGCTCCGTCAAACTGCGACCGTAATCGAGTTCTCAGCTGGTAAACGAACATTCGTACCTGCTCTATTTTCCTGGTAGTCATCCTCTCAGGTAAGTTCCCTTCTTTCGCTGCCAGTTATGCAAAGTCAACCGGTTTGACGTTACTTTAGCGCTGCATCACTGCAGCCTTTTGCCCAAACTTCACACGAGATATAACGAAATCTTTCAGAGGTGAGCGACGGTGCGCAGTGTTGATCTCCACAGGCAATCCCTGAGCCAGTGGTAGAAATTCCACATATCCACGACAGGGCCATTCTACTCAAACAACCATTGTTGACACCCCCCCCGCAAAGAGGTCACAGATGGATCTAGAAGCCCACTAAGGCAGGGGGACGTTCTAAAATTTCAAGCTTTGGGGACCCACTCCATAAATTTAAAAGATCATTCAACGTGTTGTCTCTGGTAAATAGTAAATACCAATTGTTGTGGTGAAGCAGACAGCGCGGTGGTGGAGGATGAGGATGGGGAGGAGGGGGAGGAAGAGGGGGACGAGGAGGCGGCAGGTGTGGTAAGACGGTGTTTGATGTGGTCGCACTTCGCCCCTGGAGCCTGAAGCTGCAAGTTACGTTGGGGAATCTGAGTGGCAGCCAGCCAATGCAAGTGGCCCCACAGCTCAAGGGGCAGCGGTGCTCTGGCTGGTGTCCAGTCGCGGTCTGTGCGGCGCACACAGCTGGAGCGCGCGGTCCTAATATTACAAGCTTTTTAAACGAGGCCCCGAGATTATGAATAAATAAACACTGGTAGTATTGTTGTTGGTAAACGTCCTTCTTCAAGGTGGTAAGAGGAGGGGGGGGTGATCGCCCCTATTGTGTCCCCCCCACCCCACTCAGATTCGCCACTGAAAGAGGTACTAACTTTTTTGGCCCTTAAGGGGTGATAGGTAGTGCTGACCCCGGAGTGGCATTTGAACTGTGACGACCCCAGCTGCGAGCTGAATGCTGTCGCTCCACCTCGCAAAGCAATTACCTCCGCTTATTTTTAAGATTCAAAACTTTTGTTTGCCAAAAGTATAATATAGAAACACGGCCAACGGTCCGCTTGCCTCGCTCTTCGTGCTCGTTAAGATGACGTGCAGAGCAACGAACGTGCATGTGCGATGTGTGAAGTGCGCAGGGCTCCTGCGTGAGCGCACATGAGGTCCCACTCGAGCCCAGCTGCCGCTACTTCTGTCATAAGCCTCAGCAGGCGCTTCTTGAAGAAGAGCTCAAAGCGAACGTCATCCTCGAACACCACCACCTTCTCCATGCGCCGTTCCACGACCTGCACACGCGGACACACGCATACGCGGCGGCCCGGCCTCGACACGTGGGCGCCCAGCGTACGCCCGGCGGCTCGCAACCGGAAAGTTGCTGGGCCTGAATCGGCGCTCTTTAACACTTGAACGACGGGTCGTCTACGAAGCTATAATACGTGGGAACTAATTGTATCTGCGTGTAAAGGCATTAATTTAAGAGTGCAAGCAACTCAAACAAAGTCTCAAGGTTACGCCTCGGTCACACACCGTGCAAGCACAGGTGACAGCTCTTGCACACCCAGTACAACACGGGGACCACATTCTGTCGTCATCTGGTTGGTGTGATGGCGGCGGTGAATCATTTGTCCAAAATATGACCGGATGGCTCAGAGGTAGAGCGAGTGGCTCGCAATTGGAAGGTTGAGAGTTCACATCCTGGTTTGGGGGAGGTTGACTCATCATCACCCTCTGGGGTCGATAAAGTCAAAACCACTTTGTTGAACAGATCAACAAGTTGTTGTCGTGTGGGTAGACTTGCTCCCCACCATATTAATGTGGAACTTCCACCACTGGCTCTGGAGGGCTATACACCGGAAATGAGCATCAATGGTTTGGTGCACATTTCAGCAAAAAAGTCATGTACATGGCCGCACACGAGCGTCTCATGAGGGGATCCTGCTACCTTTCTTCAACAAGTAAAAACATCAGCTCCAGTACAAAAAGAAAAACGCCCACTCTAGATTGTAACGGACTTAACTGTCATTAATCAAAACATCAAGGGACTGCGTTGGCGTTGGGTTCCAAAAATGGGCAGCGCGATGCGGGATGGTGGCGCGTTACTGCTGGCCGTAGAGGACGCGAGCCGTTATCTGCCGTGCAGATGGCCGTGTGACGTCATTATTGCATGCATGGCGCCGAGTGTCGTATCAATTTGTGATTTGCTTACCTTTCCTATACTTTGCACTCCTATCGTTTTTTTTATAGTTTGTTTTGTAACTTTCCGACCCCGTGCACCTACGAGACATCTGTGTGAGTAAAAGAGCTTCATAGCTCATCGGATTTCTCCAAGATAAATAAAGATCCTGATTCTGAAGACCAGTGTTGATTTTCCAAGCCCAGCCTGCTGATGAGACTCAGAAAGTGAAAACCAGTCCAGGGTTTGCCAACTCAAACAAATGGCTGCTGTAAAACATTCCTCTGGAACATTTGATGGGGTGAGGGGCAATAGACATTCTACCTCACACGGGAGAGGCAGGCAATTCGTTTAAATGGTACCTACACTTGTCAATGAGGGCTTAAAACACAGAGCAAGACTCACCTTTATCCACCCCGGAGGCATGATGGGCTTAGCCATTCCCACATCGGAATATGAATTCGCAACCTTTAGGTTATGAGTTGAACACTCTGTTGCCACAGCAGCACATTCATTAAAAAAATTAAGCGCACGTGGCATCGGCTCCATCATTCCTATCGCGGCGGGAGATCGCCGCTGTGTTTCACAGTCTGCGGTAATTTCACAGAAGGAATGCTATGTGGTTGTGTGGAGTCCAAACTGAGTAAATGTGTGGTGACATTTTTCAAATGAGACAAATTTGGGCCAGCACACAATGCCCTATTGTCGTGTGTACGATCACCGTACGTAGCCAACTGCTCATTCTACGGTCTTACAGGATTTTTAACGTCTACTGCGAAGCTGACAGCACATGGAATGTAATGGTTAACGAACGCCGCGGTAATAACCAGGGCTGCCTGGTAGAATTCGAACCGAGAACCTCTGCAACAAGGAACGAACGTGCGAGCCGCTGGGTCGCGGTCACCGCCCAAAATGCCAAAGGCTCTGGCCTGGAAAGCTCTGAAAAGTCCGATCCTTAATGCAGACACCTATTGGCATTGGCACAGACATGCACATATGCGTGGGATTTTTTAAAACACAAATGATGCCCCTTACAGCGCCTAACAGATTGTTAGGTCAAGTGCTGTTAGCAAGCACCTCTTAAGGCCGGCATGGTGCATAAGGGAGTGGGGTTGGTCAGCACCATGTCCGGTCACCTTTGTCTCCCCAGTGCTGATATTTACACACTGCACCAGGTACTCATTTAAGCTTGAGTCGATTTAGGACAGGGGTCAGCTAACCAAAATAACAAGAGCCACAATGCACCGTGGTGAATACGAGGCGGTGGTCCATAATAAATAACATCATGAAGCGGTCCTTGAAGAGCCGCGTGCGACTCCGGAGACGAAGTTTGCTGACCCCTGCTCTAGGGGAACCCCAAGGACAGGTTCGTATATTCGCCACCGATGTTGGCCGTGAGAAGGAATCGAACTCGGGTCGCCAGGTTCGTAACGCAGTGTGCGAAGCACTGTGACCACCACTCCCCCTTTGTCTTTGGCATTCGCATGCACACACCTCTGTCCACACGTTGTAGTGACTGAGGAAGCAACCGATCTCTCCGCGCGTAATGTCGCGCCCCGTGTAGGGGTCCTGGTAGCCGGGCAGCATGTCAACGCCCATGGCGCGCAGCTGGGACGTGTTGAGGGACCTGCATGCTTGCACGTGCGCGCCACACAGACATGGGACACGTGAGCAAACTGATGCAAGATTTTCTTTCTACATTTAATAAAATGTCCAAAATTTGTTCTCAGAACGGTTTGTGACAGCCACTTGAGGCGACCGCACGGGGTTAGAGTCGGCGCACGGGGAGTCGCTGCTGTGTTGCACAGGTACGGTTACCGCGGTTACGCCTGTGACAAATTTATGTTCCCAGTGCAACCTCTACGGAATCGTCAGCACTGTTGGTCGACAATGCTCGAGACGTTTGGTTGAAACATTGTCACGTTAAATCACACGAGTTAACCTTGAATGTTCCTTCATTCGGGATCGTGAAGTGTGCTGATGCTGTCAACTAAAAAGACACGGGGCTTTTCCTGGGTAATAACGACAATGGACTCAGACCCAACCCACTGACCCCTGACCTCCCGTCCACAGCATCGATGACCTTTGCTTTCAGTTCCTGCTCGTGCAAGGCGCGCAATATGCGCACGCGCCGATCCGCGCGGCGCACCAGGCTGATCACAAACACCTGCACACACGCGCGTTCACAAAAGATAAGAGACAAAGATCCCCCGTGTAGCCTTGACAGACTGCGAGTGCTGTTAGCGACCACCTATTAAGGCTAGCGCAGTACACGAAGAAATGGGTGGCCAGCACCACACCCGGCCACCTTTGCCTCCCTAGTAGTGCAGTTTAAACATCGCACCAGGTACTAATTTGAGGCTGAGACGACCTAGGGGAGGCCCAGGACCGGTTCAAATAATTGTCACCGGTGTTTGGCCGTGCACAGGAACCAAAAGCGGGTCGCTGGATTCGTAGCGCAGCGCGCTAGCTGCTGCACTACGGCCACCGTCAGGAAGTGTACTTTAGTCATGGGTGCTTTTGACAGCCGTGACTGTTGTCATTGTTGACAGTGTTTTGCGCGTTGCTGCCGAGGTTGTTTAAAAAACATGTATCATTACAAGACATAATTCGTAAATTTCCGAAGAAGAAAAATACACGCAGGTATTGGAGGCGAGACAGTTTTGCCACCTGTCCGGGTTTTATGAGATTCATCCGGACAGTCTGGGAATCGGCGTCGGTGTTCGGGCGGCAGGAATTATTTCTACCGAGATCCGGTACTGGGGGCCTCATGTTGAACTTCATTGCGGTACTGCATAGTGCACTGGGTTGATTATAGGCGTAGGCCGACCGAGATGAGTTTGATCTGCAGTGGAAAAGGTGGTGGCACAAAGGCGAGATGCCATCATGGCTAAATCTACTTTTGCTTCCAACGAGCAAAGCAAGTTGAGTTGTGCCTCGCCGTGATAAGTCGCCCCAACAGTGCAGGCGGAATCTTTCCCCGATCAGTGTTGAGCCGTTGCGATCGATTGTACAGGGAGAAGTTCAGTGGCGGTGGTCACCTCGTCGAAGCCCATCTTGTCGGGGACGCGCGGCGGAACGTACACGTGGGGGCTGGTCTCCAGCGGACCCCTCTCCACTGCACGCACCATCATCACCACCACCACCACCAAAAAACAAATGTCCCCCATATAGCCTTTACTGCTGTTGAGGCAAGTGCTGTTCGCGAGCACCTATGAAGGCCAACACGGCATACGAGGGGGTGGGTGGCCAGCCCCACCCCTGGCCGCCTTTGTCTCCTCAATTGCGATGTTTACATGCCGCACCAGGTACTCATTTGAGGCTAAGCAACCGCAACTCAGAACACACAGTTGCGAATATCGGGGCCACTGCCAAGAAGCTCACCATGACCAGCATCGCCAGGCTGCTCAAGAGGCATTTGCCATTTGGCATCTCACTGCAATGGGCAGCAAGTCAGGACAGCAATGCCCATCGCAGGCATGGGCCACCGCAGCACCGAGCTACACTAACCACGACATTCGGAACACACCCTGCACCCAGATATACAGGTTGCTTCAAAAAAATGTTAACACTTCTGAGAATTGTTTAACACGTAGGCTTTCATACTCTTTAGCTGTCGCCTGATTTGTCTGGCTGTCGCCTGATGAAGCTAGTTGTAATTACTGGTGAAACATTGTACTCAGATTGTAAATGTTGTGGCTGGCTCTCCAACACACTGATGTGCTGTACTTGTGACGGATTTGTATGTTCTGTTCATGTGACAACCCTTACTAGTTGGCTGTGTCGGGTGGTGGCGGGTTTTAACCCAAAAAAACCTCTAACTCCTGAGAATTTGCAACATTACCACAAGAAATGCTCTGGAGACCACCTGGAAAATATTCCAGGCAATGACAATGATGGTGAACAAGTGAAAACTGACTTTTTAAAGTTATTAATATACATTTGTTATGTTACAGTGTATTATCCATTCTTTTCACATTAAAAACGATAGTCCCATATAAGTGTTAACATTTTTTTAAACACCCTGTATTTACAACAAAGACCTACACGACACTGCTTCTGTGTGGTGGAAAGTCCACATTACTATGGCAATCACCGGGGGCTCCGATTAACCCGAACCCAACTCGGGGAGACGAGGGGTAGAATTGAAACTGAGCAGGATTTGAACTCGTAACCTTGAGCTCATGGGCAAGGCACTCCACCCGCTAAGCTACCACAGCTGATCTGCGTGTAAATGTTTTAACAAATATTTGTGAACATTATAGAGAGACGGTCCTGTCAAAATATATTACATCAATAAATGTAAATGTTTAGACGTGACATTTTGTAAACTGGCAATATTGAAGTGTGGCATAGTATAAACAGACAAATATCCCCTGTATAGCCTTAACAGGCGTTTGGGGCAAGTGCTGTTATCGAGCACCTATAAAGGCCGGCACAGCATACGAAGGGCGTCGGTGGCCAGCACCATAACTTAGTCTCCCAAGTACCGATGTTCACACAAACTATTAACAATATTTTTATTTTACCAGGTAAGACCCACTGAGCTATGTAGCTCTTTTTTAGGAATCGACCTGGCCTGAAATGATAGCTCAACGAAGTGGCTTTTCACATCGCACCAGGTACTAATTTGAGGCTGAGCCGACCTAGGGGAGGCTTGGCATTGGCCTTGAGCGAGAATTTAAATCAAATCACCGGGTTCAAAGAGCAGCACGTTGACCGCTACAAGACAAAGATCCCCCGGATAGCATCAATACTGTTGGGGCAAGTGCTGATAGCGAGGGGGTGGTTGGCCAGCACAACGCCCGGCCGCCTTTGTCTCCCCAGTGGTGATGTTTACACACCACACCAGGTGCTCATTTGAAGCCGAGTCGACCGAGAGGAGGCCCATAAACGGTTCAAATAATCGTCACTGGTGTTGGCCATGAGTGGGAATGGAACTTGGGTCGTCGGATTCATAGCGCAGCGTGCTAACTGCTGCACTACCGCACGCACACGTCCGGGTTGCATGCGCTGTGCTTGCGCAGTGGCGACACGGCCGTCGGGGATGTGTGTGGTTTTGCGCGTTTCGTGCTCAACGTACACATGATCTCCAGGTGGGCGTGCACAAAGTTGTCCACCGCATCCTCATGGGATAGGTGGGGCCGCGTGGGAACCTCCAGGTACCCAAACACCCTCTGGTTGCACACGTACATAGGAACCTCTGCAGGAGCGGGGGGCAAAGAGGGGTTACAGAGAGCTGAGATCCATCACGCCGCTACCAACACGCCTGCTGGGGCGGCTCATGGATGTCGCCGCATGTCAACTGCAGTGGAGGGATCTGGCGGAGGGTAAAGAGCGGTGGCGAGGTGCGGTGGTGGCGTCGACGACTTTGGCCACAGGTCTCGGGTTACGAAAGGTCCTTCGTTGGGTCTTCTTGGCCGGGCGGCGTCAAATCCGCGGTACTTATCTTATCAACCTTGGGGGGAGAATGGGTCGAGTCAAAAATAGGACCAGGATTTGAACTCAGGTCCTTCCGATTGCCAGCCGCTCGCTCTCCCACCAAGCCCCCTCGCACGCGGTTAGGATCGAAAGCAGGCCTCTAAATTATTAACGTCACCGTTGATTTGTCGTCAACTCCGCGTGCCCCAACGGCCTTGCACGTCCCACGGCCCGTGCCGGCGACCCCCCCTGCATGCGCTCACCAGCCTTGCGCGCGGAGAACGCAAACGCCATTATGTCGTCGAGCGCCCACGTGTAGTGCGGATGCGGCGGGTAGAAGGTGAGATGGCGCGCACGCGCCCGCCGCAGGTCCAGCAGCATGGTCGAGTGCACCATGGGCACTGGGAAGCAGCCGCGCTTGCGCCGCTCCCGGATACGAGGGTACTCCGGGGTCCGCTTGTAGTAGCCCTGCGGGCACAGCATGGGGTGAGCCGCCAGTTCGGTGCTAAGACGACGTCTGCCCGGTTTAAACATTGCCGTTGGAATTTGCGGATTTCTCTTTTCTCACACCGGCTGCCCCACTGTCAGCCTACGGAGTGGGTTCAGCACCGGCCTCCTTTGTCATTGCCGCTCTCTCATCCAGGACCTCCTCAAAACACAGGACTCAGCCAACCACTGGAACCTACACCTCGACTCACTCACTGTCTCTTTCTGAACCAAGCCCGTGCTTCTGGCACAGTGCCGTTTCTCCGTGTGGCTGCTCCAATCGTTGTGGAATCGCATCCTCGCTACAACATACGCAGCAGCAGCGGTGTCATGAAATTCGCCGCCATTTCTAAGAGGCGGTTGTGAAAGCTACTGTCGTCCGTTTAGTCGGTACATGACGAACCCCCACGTCACGACTAGAAATAGTTTGAGCCTTTCGTGAAAAAACATTTGCACGTTATTAATAGTTGTTATCATGGTGTGTATTTAGTTTAACTAGGTAAGGAACCAGGTAAGGAACTCTAAGAGACAAGAATAGTCTCAAGGGTAGCCTTCTGAAATGCAGGCGTTGTCCTCGTGTTCGGACGCATTCACATGAAGCCACGTGTCTGGCTTCGGCCCTTCCCCTGGTTTGCTGACCGTCAGGGCCTCTCCCAGCTGGCAGGCAACCCGCGGGTAACATCCTGTATCACCTCCTGCTCGTCGCAACTGCTCTACAGCATGCCTGCCCTTGCCCTGCTCGATAGCCATTAGCCAAGGAAGTTGTCCTCAGTCACTTTGGTAATAACTAATGCATATGTAGTGTTATGTTGCGCTGTTTTATCTTCTGATTCAGTTGTTTTGAGTCTGCATTAAATGGAAATGAAAACGCTGTAAGATGTGCGTGACTTTAAAAAAAAGTGTCAACCGTGCATTCCAGTTTGACTATCACGAGCAATCTAACTTTTAAACGTTTACCATTGTTGTTAAAGAGTCAAGAGTAGACGTGCAATTCCATTCATCGGTCCGTCGAGCACGAGGTTTTTACAGCTCACGTCAACTAGACGGAGCACGAGGACTTTGTGGATTGCTTGCCACACAGCCGCGGACAGGGGCTCCCCACAATGTGATCGGCTCTGTGGCATAGCCACTCGTCTACTCGACAAAGTGCATGGGCACCTCTCGTTTGTTGGAATGAATAACAGGCTAACTCAGGTACCCACGCGCGCGTGTGTGCATGTACACACAAGTAGTGTAGTGGCTTGCACACTGCGCTACGAACCCTGTCGACCCGAGTTTGATTCCCACTCAGGAACAATAACAGTGGTGAATATTTGAACTGGACCTGGACCTCCCCCCTCGGTCAACTCGGCTTTAAACAAGTACCTGGCACGGTGTGTAAAACATCAGCACTGGGGAGACAAAGGCGGCCAGGCGTTGTGTTGGCTACCCACCCCTTTGTGTGCCGTGCCGGCCTTCATAGGTGTTCGCGAACAGCACTTGCCCCCAACAGTCTATTATCTAACCTATATAATTCATTTTTTGTCTGTCTGTCTGTCTGTCTATCTGTCTGTCTGTCTGTCTGTTTGTCCGTCTGCGTACGCTCCCTTCCGGGGGATTTAGCTCTCGGACCGTGGGGTTCGCCGAGATTAAATTTTGCAGGTGGGCACGCCCCCGGCCCGCGGTAAACTTAGGCATTTCCGATTTTTCGTCTCTAAACTTTAAATCGGACCGATTATCGATTTAGCGCGATTTATCTTTATTTATTTATTTAAAGCTTTATTTATTTATTTACTCTTGCCGGCCGGCGCGGACTACGGCGGTTGCCCCTGGCAACGGGTAGAGACGCGCGTTCGCTGCGGGGTGGACGCCATTTTGAATTACCATTAAAAATATGCGCACGCATTAACACGCGATTCTGAGGTAAATTCATCAAAGTTTCACGTCCTCTTTACTCCCCTTCCACCCCAATGTGTGCAATTACTATTATAGGGTCGGTAGATAATAAAATTATAGCGATTAGACAGTATTATTGTAGCGCGGGGGGGGGGGGGGTATTGGCCCCAGTACGGAGCCTCTGCTGGGTAGGCAATCTAGGCAAGGCCGGAGGCTCTGCACGGTACTAGGCCTCGACACCCCACCCGTGTCAAGCGACGACTTTGTGGTATAAACTCGATATACCCGGCGTTGCCCGGGGGGAAAATACATTTAAAATCTTCTGAAAACTTTAAAACATTACATACCAATGAAAATACGAGTGTGTAATGACTTTTAAACCCGACGCGCCAAGAATCGATTCTCTGAATCGCGAAAAGGAATCGAAGGTTGTAGATTCCTTTAGATTCGGACGATTCCCGTTTACTTTAAGTTGGTAAAAGTCGATATAAACTGCTACGAACGGGAAATATCCGGCGTTGACCGGGGCAAAAATGTTATTAAATACTCCTGAAAACATTAAAACATAACATATCAATGAAAATAAAACTCTGTCATTCAAAATGTAAACCCCCTACATGCCAGGAATCGATTCCTTGAATCGCACAAAGGACGAATCGAAGGTTGTAGATTCCTTTAGGATCGCGCTTAACGTGGTGAGGGGTGAGTGGTGAGGGGGAGAGTGGTGAGGGGGAGAGTGGTGAGGGGTGAGTGGTGAGGGGTGAGTGGTGAGGGGTGAGTGGTGAGGGGTGAGTGGTGAGGGGTGAGTGGTGAGGGGGAGAGTGGTGAGGGGGAGAGTGGTGAGGGGGAGAGTGGTGAGGGGTGAGTGGTGAGGGGTGAGTGGTGAGGGGGAGAGTGGTGAGGGGGAGAGTGGTGAGGGGGAGAGTGGTGAGGGGTGAGTGGGGAGTGGTGAGGGGGAGAGTGGTGAGGGGGAGAGTGGTGAGGGGGAGAGTGGTGAGGGGGGAGAGTGGTGAGGGGGAGAGTGGTGAGGGGTGAGTGGTGAGTGGTGAGTGGTGAGGGGTGAGTGGTGAGGGGTGAGTGGTGAGGGGTGAGTGGTGAGGGGGAGAGTGGTGAGGGGTGAGTGGTGAGGGGTAGAGTGGTGAGGGGTAGAGTGGTGAGGGGGAGAGTGGTGAGGGGGAGAGTGGTGAGGGGGGAGAGTGGTGAGGGGGAGAGTGGTGAGGGGGAGAGTGGTGAGGGGGAGAGTGGTGAGGGGGAGAGTGGTGAGGGGGAGAGTGGTGAGGGGGAGAGTGGTGAGGGGAGAGTGGTGAGGGGGGAGAGTGGTGAGGGGGAGAGTGGTGAGGGGGAGAGTGGTGAGGGGGAGAGTGGTGAGGGGAGAGTGGTGAGGGGGAGAGTGGTGAGGGGGAGAGTGGTGAGGGGGAGAGTGGTGAGGGGGAGAGTGGTGAGGGGGAGAGTGGTGAGGGGGAGAGTGGTGAGGGGGAGAGTGGTGAGGGGGAGAGTGGTGAGGGGAGAGTGGTGAGGGGGAGAGTGGTGAGGGGGAGGTTGAGTGAGTGGTGATTGGTGAGGGTGAGTGGGGAGGATGAGTGGCGGTTGTTAGTGGTGATTAGTGAGGGGTGAGTGGTGAGGGTTAGTGGTGAGCATGAGTGGTGAGTGTTGAGCGTGAGTGGTGAGGGTGAGTGGTGATTGTTGAGGGTGTGATTGGTGAGGATGAGTGGTGAGTAGTGAGGGTGAGTGGTGAGGGTGAGTGGTGAGTGGTGAGGGTGAGTGGCGGTTGTGAATGGTGATTAGTGAGGGGTGAGTGGTGAGGGTGAGCGTGAGTGGTTAGGGTGAGTGGTGAGGGTGAGCAGTGAGGGTGAGCAGTGAGGGTGAGTGGTGATTGGTGAGGCTGTGATTGGTGAGGATGAGTGGTGAGTGGTCAGGGTGAGTGGTGAGGGTGAGTGGTGAGCGGTGAGGGTGAGTGTTGAGGGTGAGTGGTGAGTGGTTAGGGTGAGTAGTGAGGGTGAGTGGTGAGCGTGAGTGGTGAGTGGTGAGCGTGACTGGTGAGGGAGAGTGGTGAGGGAGAGTGGTGAGGGAGAGTGGTGAGGGAGAGTGGTGAGGGAGAGTGGTGAGGGTGAATAGTGAGTGGTGAGGGTGAGTGGTGATTGGTGAGGGTGAGTGGGGAGGGTGAGTGGCGGTTGTTAGTGGTGATTAGTGAGGGGTGAGTGGTGAGGGTGAGCGTGAGTGGTGAGGTTGAGTGGTGAGCAGTGAGGGTGAGTGGTGATTGGTGAGGGTGTGATTGGTGAGGATGAGTGGTGAGGGTGAGTAGTGAGGGTGAGTGGTTGTTGTGAGGGTGAGTGGTTGTTGTGAGGGTGCGTGGTGAGGGTGAGTGGTAAGAGTGAGTGGTGAGGGTGAGTGACGGTTGTGAGAGGTGATTAGTGAGTGGTGAGGGTGAGTGGTGAGGGTTAGTGGTGAGGGTGAGTGGCGGTTGTGAGTGGTGATTAGTGAGATGTGAGTGGTGAGGGTGAGTGGTGAGGTTGAGTGGTGAGGGTGAGTGGTGAGGTTGAGTGGTGAGGTTGAGGTGAGGTGAGTGTTGAGGGTGAGTGGTGAGTGGTTAGGGTGAGTAGTGAGGGTGAGTGGTGAGCGTGAGTGGTGAGTGGTGAGCGTGACTGGTGAGGGAGAGTGGTGAGGGAGAGTGGTGAGGGAGAGTGGTGAGGGAGAGTGGTGAGGGAGAGTGGTGAGGGAGAGTGGTGAGGGTGAATAGTGAGTGGTGAGGGTGAGTGGTGATTGGTGAGGGTGAGTGGGGAGGGTGAGTGGCGGTTGTTAGTGGTGATTAGTGAGGGGTGAGTGGTGAGGGTGAGCGTGAGTGGTGAGGTTGAGTGGTGAGCAGTGAGGGTGAGTGGTGATTGGTGAGGGTGTGATTGGTGAGGATGAGTGGTGAGGGTGAGTAGTGAGGGTGAGTGGTTGTTGTGAGGGTGAGTGGTTGTTGTGAGGGTGCGTGGTGAGGGTGAGTGGTAAGAGTGAGTGGTGAGGGTGAGTGACGGTTGTGAGAGCTGATTAGTGAGTGGTGAGGGTGAGTGGTGAGGGTTAGTGGTGAGGGTGAGTGGCGGTTGTGAGTGGTGATTAGTGAGATG